TGGGATCTCCACTAATATATATATATATATATATATATATATATATATATTAATATTTTTAAATATATGAAAAAATATGGTTGAATCTTTTTTAATATTTTTTAATAGGATTGCAAATTTTAATTATTTTATTTTTATTTTTTAAAATAAAATAAAAAACAAAAACAAAATAATTAACATTATAAAAAATCACGGGAAATGAGGATCCCATAGAGACGGGAAGGGGATAACCTTATCCCCGATAGCAGGGATGGGGACAGAGATGGGGATGGGGATTTTTGTAGGGACGGGACGGGGATCTGCCCCGCCCCGTTGCCATTCCTGGGAGGAAAACCACACAACTATTCCACCTTTAAATACAACTGGTATAGAAGTTGATGGAGATGCCTTCCAATCGGATGTAGTCATGCAAATGGCTAGAAATATTGCTACTCAGTATTGTGGGTATAGTGCTGGTCGAGTGAGATATGAAAATTTGATACGCCTATTGCGATAATACCACAGGAAATCTCACAGATTTCTCCACTCATTTCTCCTTATCATGGAAGCTAAAATACTCCGCTGATGGAATTGCCTTCTTTGTCGCTGCTTCAACGCTTCCTGATCTTCGAAAGACAAGATCTTTATCGCTGCTTTGTTCTCCAGGTGAATTACTTGGTCTCTTTCACAACAATAGTGCATACAATCGAACTGCAAATCAAGTAGTGGTCGTAGAGTTTGATACTTCTAACTTTTCGAAACGTCCACGACCTCCCATATCGTCACAACACAAAACTTGAGTGTCTTTACAACATATTCTTACAGCTTGTAGATTCAGGGGTACTGTAACCTTTCGTACAAAGTTGATCTCAGGATTGTACAAAGTTGAATCTCATGTCATTAAGTCTTGGGAATTGGGATTTCAATTCAAGCTTGAAGATTAGCAACACCAATAGTACGGAGTCCAGTCCAAAGCATGGAAATTCAAATCCATCTTAAGGAAGAAAATTAGCTTGGTTAGTTGGTTATTCGATTTGTTCTCGGCGTAGGTGTCTTGATAGGTAGTTTGGGTGTGATTATTTGGTTCGTTCTGAAGAAAATGAGGTACAGAAGTGAAGATGACAACGACGATTTACCCTTGGATATATCCATGGATGATGATTTTGAGTGGAGAACAGGACCCAAGAGGTTCTTCCCTTCTGCGTTTTTTCTATTGCGAAAGAAAAAAGGTTAAAAAAATTCAGAAAAACAGATTCGAGAATAGATGAGATGAGAGGGACGAGGAGCACATACCTCCGGTGTATCTTCCAGACGGATTATCAACGTCAGATTTCATGGCAAGCAAAATTGGGCGGGGGAGGAGGTGGGGCGATCGGAGTTTCAGAGGGCATGTCGAGAGGAGTGCGAGACTGAGTAAGAGCGGGAAAGAGGAAAACTGAGTTTTGGGTGAAATGAGAGTTAACGGGACAAGACTGAGTATTACGGATGAGCTCCGCACGAGGCTGAGGGCAATGCGTGTGGGAGGACATGACGATGTGGGAAGTGGGATGCTTTTGGTGTGCGAGCCGTTAGGGGTAGGAATGGCAATGGAGTGGGGATCATATTCCCATCCCCATCCCTGATCCCCAATCCCGGTTGGGGATAAAAAGTTGTCCTCTATCCTTTATTTACGATAAGAATGGGTTTCCTGTGAGACTCGAATCTCTAAAACATAACAGTATTTTTTAAAAAATAAATTTATTTAAAATAAATAAAAATTTTAAAATATAAATAATGTTTTAAATATAAGGGTGTCAATGGACCGGTTTCGGGTTGAACACCGTCCGAATTAAAAGTGATATGAACGGATTGGACGGTCCTAAAAATGATATGGACGCGGACCGGTTCGAACATGAATAGTCCATTCATAGAATGGACCGAAAGTGGATAAAGCCACTAGTTCGAATGGTCCGTTCAATGTTCATTTTCATTTGAACTTTGAAGCATCAAGTGTGGAAGCTTTCGAAGGCTAGGGTTCAGCGCCTTTGCGCCTCCACCACTCTATCCTCAGTCTCGCCGGTGGACGGTGGTATTTCTTTTGATCACCTGATTTTGTTATTTCACCATGCCTGATGCCATGTGCTCTCTCTCTCTCTCTCTCGCTCTTTCTCTCTCCCTACATTTGAGCCATTGTCACTTGCAGGAAGTATACTTTGTTCCGGTGGAGGAGAAGGCCCCATCCTTGCCGAGAAAGGATTATCCGAAGCCATTAATCTTCCATGACGGCCGGGCGGTGGCAAGGCCTACACCATTAAACGTGTCGGCAATGCTACTATGGGTACCAATGGGAGTCATTCTAGCCAAATGCATGATTCAGTTAAAAGAGTGATAGATTTATTCAGATTTTTTCTTTTATTTTCTTTTTCTGTTTTAGAAAGCCAAATGCATGATTCATTGTATAGACACTCATGATATGAAAAATGGGAGTTTCCAAAGGGAAACGTTTTTTACTTATTTTTTTCTCTGTTTGTTCAATTCAGTATGCACTGACAGTTACGTTGAGAGGGGTTCACTGATACATTGTGATATTTTGAACATTTGCCCAACTGTATTCATAGTTATCTACCCTGTACATATATTTAACTATTGTTTGGGATTACCGGGTTTTGATCATTTGGGTTAGGCTTTCTATTTCTTTTAGGACAATAAATTAGGTTGGATATGTAATTGAAAAACCCACTTCACTGATTGGACTATGAACAATAAATTTGTTTTTTAACATACCTAACAAAAAAATATCATCACTAATTAGATTTTAATTTTTTTTTTGCCTAAAATAATTGATTTTCTTGTTTATATTCTGGCCTTTGATGTCAACCCACTTCAATTTGGGCTTTTTACTCTTTCATTATAAATGCAGTCTATGCATATGATGTCTTATACTTGATCTCTAAGGTAAGTTCATGTGTTGACAAGTACATAGAATAGAAAAAAGCTCTGAAGGGTTGCTCTCATTAGAGAGCCTGTGGAAGTATATATTAGCCATGTGATGGTATATGAGGGATTGGTTGCAGTTGACTACTGCTCTATGTCAAATTCTACAAGCCAAAGTTATAAAAGATATTAATGGGAGTTTGGCGATCATACAAACACGGGTAAAAATCACTAAAGCACCCTACACAAATATTCTTGCATGATCCAAATATGCTCCCTAACATGGAGGAACATTTTACTTGTATTTTCTATTTTTCCCTTTGACCGATTGCAGAGCACATTTTTGTTTTTGTTGTATCTTAAGATTTGTTATTTGGGGTGTTTAAATAAAAGTTAACCCCACCTTACTTTGATATTTCAGATAGAATTGACTGAATCTTCATCACCTGCTTCACTGTCACTGCTACTGCTCCCACTCCCACTGTTGTTCTCACTGCTCCCACTTGAACATAAAGTCTGCTTATTTCTTTCTTCAGCATTCACCTGAACCCTCAAGGCCTCTACGGCATTAGGGTCCTTTTCTGCCTCATCATCACTAACATTGAGGGTTGGAATCTCTAAAGATAATTCCATAGACATATTGTTCTAGTAGACAGAGATATCTGAGGGTTGGAATCTTCCAAATGCTTATTGGAATCTCTCCAGTCAATCTGTTTGTAAACAATGCAAGTTCCTCTAATTTACTCAAAGATCCCAACTTACTTGGAATTTTGCCTTCGAGTTGGTTTTTCTGCAAGAGGAATTCCTTCAATGAACTACAGGTCCCAATCTCTGGTGGAATTACCCCTGACAAAGAGTTCTCATTGAGGTAAAGTAGCTCAAATTTAGTTAGTAATCCAAAGGAAGAGGGGATCTAACCTATTAATTTATTACTCAGAGTTGCCAAGAATCTTAAGCCACTACAATTTCCCAAGCCTGATGGTATTTCTCATCAAATTGATTGTAAGTCAAGACCAACTCCTACAAATTCCTGCAACTACCTGAACCCCCCAACTTTATCTTGCCCTCAAATCTGTTCGAACTAACATCCAAGTAAGCAAGAAACTGAAGATTGTTTAGGCTCTTAGGCAAAACTCCAACTTACTGGTTCTCAGTAAGATAGAGTTCTTCCAATTTAGTACAATTCTCAATAGATTCTGATATCATCCCTGGTAATTGATTACTATAGAGCCATAGAGATGAGAAGGTTTACTGAGACGTTAATGGTAGTGACCCACAACTGAACCTGCAAATGATGCAGTAAACTGCCTGCGTGAAATGAAATCATATCCTTTTATGTTGACTTTTAATAGCTTTCAAATCATGACACAGTAAACTGCTTGTGTGAAATGAAATCATATCCTTTTATGTTGACTTTTAATAGCTTTCAAATCAGATCAGATGACACAGTAAACTGCTTGTGTGAAATGAAATCATATCCTTTTATGTTGATTTTTAAGTATGGAAAACATTTAATTTGGACCGGATGCATTTCAATTGGATTGAACTGGATCCGGTTTGTATGGGGTTTGAACCGGATTTGATCCAATCCATTTGTAAATAGATCAATATTGGACTAGACTGGATTGGACCAAATCCTATCCAATTGACAGTCCTAGCAGATACCTCAATCCCCATCCCTGACCCTGATTGGGGATTCCTATTAATCCCGATCCATGTATATTCCCATTTGGATTTGAAAGTCAGACCACCATCAAGAATAGAAAAATTGCCATCCCTAAATAGGGGCAGATCCGAATTCTCTCAAACGGGGCACCTCTGAGAGGAATTCACATCTGCCTTTGTCAGAACGTGCCTCAAAAACGTCCAACATGCACATTTTAACGTCCCAGATGTGCCTTCGCGGATCCGGAAAGCTTTGCAACTTGCAAATTTCTCTATATTCTCGAACCTAGTGCAGATCTGTATCAGTTGTCCAAACCTACACCTTTTGACGATAAAATACTAATCGAATGGACAACTTAGTAGCCAAGTCAGCGATCCGCGTGAAAACTTATCTTCCAATAAGGCTTTACCGAAATCCTCTTCTCTATATATACCCCGCTCAACTACGAAACCAATTCATATCAAGTTTTAAGCTCTTCCAAGTCTCTCCCAGATTTTATATTTAGTTTTTCCCGCCTGAAGCAGCCTCCTCTTCCCTCTCTTTCACTCTCTTTCTTTGTATTTACTCTTGCGATGGCACCAAAGGCCGAGAAGAAGCCCGCTGAGAAGAAACCCGCGGCTGAGAAGCCGGCAGAGGAGAAGAAGACCGTAGCCGAGAAAGCTCCGGCCGAGAAGAAGCCAAAAGCGGAGAAGAGGCTACCGAAGGAGGGCGCCGCTTCCGGAGACAAGAAGAAGAAGAAGCGAGTGAAGAAGAACAGCGAGACATACAAGATCTACATCTTCAAGGTGTTGAAACAGGTACATCCTGACATCGGTGTCTCAAGCAAGGCCATGGGCATCATGAACAGTTTCATCAACGATATCTTCGAAAAGCTCGCTCAGGAGGCCTCTAGGTTGGCCCGTTACAACAAGAAGCCCACCATCACCTCTCGGGAGATCCAGACTGCTGTTCGTCTTGTTCTTCCTGGCGAATTGGCCAAGCATGCCGTTTCCGAGGGCACCAAGGCAGTGACCAAGTTCACTAGTTCTTAATTGCAGATCAGTGTTTAGTCTCTTCCCTTTTCTAGGGCAGAAGAGCAAACTAAGTGTCTAATACGTGGAAGATTTATGATATCTAGGCTTTCTTTCAATTCACTGTTTCGTTGAACTGATTTTTTTTTTTTTTCTTTTTTTCTTTTTTCTTGCTTGGATTGTCCAGATCCATTAGTTACTGACTGTAAATTATGAAATGAAGTCCTTATTAGGTGTTCTTTATTATCATTGTCGTGTATATGTTTTACTTTAGCTCTCTCTCCTTTTATCACATCCCCCTGGCATTGTGATTCTTTCTTTGAATTTGGTTTAAGTATCACTTTTTGATAAATCTCTACCCAATTTATGGGATTTTTTAATGGTTGGTGGTTAACGGTGGCAGCTAGTTAGTACAAGATACTTGAGGTGACTTCATATATGGGTTCAAGTGAACCAAAGCCATGCTGAACCCGACCTGTTGATATGATCTAGACCCAGCGTGACCCTCTAACCCAACCTAAGATGCATGTTTCATCCAAGGTTTAAAGTATGATATAATAATCTGGTTTGCTAAAACTATATATTGATTATTTTTTAATTTTAATAAAAATGAAAAAATATAATTATAAAAATTAAAATAAATAACTTAAGATTTAATTTTCTTAAAAGTTTAGTAAAAGCTAAAAACTATAAAAATAATTTATTTTATCTATTTAAATGATTTATGTGTTTCATTTTACAATTATATATAAAATAAAATGAATGCATATTTATTATTTAAAAAAGTATAGTTCCTATTTATGTAAAAGTTGTAAATAAAAAAAATGATTATATATTAAAATGAAGACATTTTAGTGTTATTAATGTATTTATATGATTATTATATATTTTCCTAATATATTCAAACTTTGTATCCATATCTGTATTTGAATGATTTAATATACAAATTATAAGGTTTTGCGCTTTACATATTTTTATTTGTAATCTTTCCAAACTGAGCCATAATTTCATAAGAGATTTTGGAATTGGAATGTTAGGCAACAAATGGTACCAAAAATCCAAACCAATACCCATCGATGGTTTTTGAACTGCTCTTGACTCGGATGATTGGATCATTCAGCCCAAGAATCGTCCAGACAACTGGTTTTGTTTTACCTCAAACTCGATCATTGGTCAAAAACCGTTGAATCAGTTAATGACCTATTGACCCAGGCGGTCGAATTGTCAACTTGTTCAATAGTTTTGGCTGTTTTTTTACTTTTATTTTTATTTTTTGTCAAAATGGGTCATCCATTCAAACCAAACAATCAAACTATTGACCCAAAAGTAGGTGGTCAAAACAGTTCCATTTCCGAATCAATTTTTAAAACCATGTACACACCACTCATTTATCTATCTCTTAGGTTCCAAGTTACTCAAGTCAAACCTATTCATTCAAACCCTCCTTCCAATGGGGTTGTAGGGAATGAGATCTGCTCCTCACACTTGGGCACCTCACATGCACATCCACCGTGCATTGGAAACATCTCCCGTGAATAATAACTTGTAAGTACAGGAGATATTCCCAATGCATGGTAGGATGTGCGTGTGAGGAGCAGATCAGTGTCGGGTTGTAGACACATGTATGCCCATGGGGAAAGTAATTCTTCATGTTATTTTTATGGTTAATCATCACAAAATCAGTATTGATTTTGACTCTGAAAACATCCACTTTGTGCGAAAAAAAAAAAAAACCAATTAGGACTATCCAATTTACCTCCCAGTTCAAAATATTGATACGTATGAAGTATCAATAGCTTTTTTTTTTTTTATTGTTATTTTTTTTCAAATCTCTTGACCCGGTCAAATCCCCTGAACTGATACACTGGTTTAAGGTCCATCCATCATTCCATCTCTTGAACCGGTCAAAATCCCAAAACACTCTGGAGGGATATATCAGGAAGCCCCCAATACGATGTATCGGCCAATACGGCCCAGTATGTATCAAAGTTTTGAAACTTGCCGTGAAGAGCTGGGACCAAGATTTAAGTATCAAAACTCTTAATTTGAAAAATCAACATATCAAGTGTTTGTTTCATCAGATACTCCCATGTCACATTAGGTATTAATAATATAAAATAATTAAAATGCGTTATCTATCTATCTATCAATCTATATATAGATTGATAGATAGATAGATAGATAACGCATTTTAGTTATTTTATATTATTAATACAGCTTGCTTTGTTTTCTCTATTTTTTCCTTTAGATATAGGGGTTGATACAAATCAAGGTTTTCACAAGCTATTCTAACTTTGCTCATAAAAAGAAGCTTGATTCGACTTGATCTAAATCGAATTGGTATTCATACTGTCGATTCAGAGAAAAGAAGTTTGTAAACTGAATCTCTTGAGACACTTGAACCCTTAAGTGTGTCAACTGGTTATGTTTTACCAGCAAGATCAACCTAAACAATTATGCAATCAAAGTCATCACGAAGAGAAACCCCCTTAGACCGTACAGGAGAATAATCATAAGAATTGTTTTATGGTTTATGGCTCAGAAAGTCCACGTGTTTGTTTCAAATCCTTTTTTTTTATCAGTTTATTTTAAGTCTCCTTTTATAAAAACAAACCAAACCCATATCATTTTATAGATTTATAAAGAAATAAAGGAGCAGGATCGAAGAGAGATGTTAAGATTATTTAGGTGTCCCTGGCACCTCTCAGGACATTTTTGTTCTCACTGTTTTTGCACATAATTTCTCCACTTAAAATTTGAGTCTAATTTCTTCTTAAAACCTCACATCATCTAATTATCATAATCTCCATCATAGAGTATCAAACTGAGGTTGATGAGGCAAGCAGGAACAAATATAAGAAGAGAGGAAATAGAGAGTGAGGAACAAGTAGGGAGAGAAGAAAACAGTATCGTGGTGGTTGTGCAAGAGGGAGTGGAGGGACGGTGAGGAAAGATATGAATGATTATAGAGGATGTGTTATAAGTGTCTACCATTTTTTTTTTGATAAATAGTTAATAGTGTCTACCATTCACCATTGTTATTCTCCCAACATGGTCTTTTCTCAAACTTCACATAGAAGATGCTTTGGTTTGGATTTTTTTTCACCATCATCAGTTCTCCCATTGTGCTACTTTTCCAAACTTCAATCTAGGCCTTCCACTTTTGAGGTACCATGGGGGTGGGGCTCAGCTGGTCAAGGGTCTAGTAGTTTTGTTGCCAATTTTTGTTTTGTCTTTCCTTCTTCAACCCACACAGATCAGATGGTTTAACTACTCATCCATTAATTGCCAGCTCCTGAGGTTAGAGGTCTAGTACAAGAATAAGATTTTGGTTCTTTAACCCTATGTATGGTTTGAAGGAAAATGTAGGCAAAGGAAGGGAAAGGTAGGGAAACCTTTACAACCCTTGTATCGGTTTCCCTGTCTTTCTCTTCCTTTCCTTACCTTTTCCTTCAAACCAAACATAGCCTATTAAGTGAAATGACTGGAGAAAATGAGGTTCTGTTTTGGGTGATTATGCTGATTACAGTTTGCACATGACGCAAACTTGAGAAATGGAGATATAAAAAAATTGAGACAGTTGTTTTGCCTTAGAATTATATATGGAATTGATACAAAGAAATTGTAAATGTATCTTGATGAAATTCTATAAAACATGGTACTATTGTTTAGCAAGATATTCTAGGCCTAAAAGAATCCCTTGCACTTTGAAGAAATGGTGCAAGCAACCAAACAAAACAATTCCAAAGGACTTACAACTTACAAGCTTAGCCTTACTACATCAAACTTCGAGAGAAAAAAGGTTCAGGATGATATGAATCGAGTTTACTGGAAACTATTACCCCAGGAATGCAAATATGCAGTAATTTTATGGGATAAGATGCTCTGTGTTAAAATCAGCAACTTGAATGCCGAGTATGCTGAGTTTTGTTCCTCTCGAATTCTCATTTCCTATGTGATAAAGGAAAGGTACATAGAAAAAGCAAATTTAAGAGCGTCGAAGCGTTTAAACTCCGTAAATTTCACGGCAAAAAATGCTCATTCGTAATCTGTTTCTTCTATTTACCCCTTTTCCCATGTGATAAGCAGTAATTGCTATATCGCAGTCCAAGTCATGTTGAAATCATAAAGCAAACAAAGCATGATTGAAACGAAAGAATGTTCTGTTTCTTACAATAACAGTAGCAAAAAGCAGAATCGAGGCCATCTATCGATTTCAACGTCCTCTTCGCCCGAGTCGATGATAAACCCTGATAATCCACAGTCACAGAACAAAACTTGGCCCCCTGGGACCTACGGACGCTTCGTCATCTTAGATAATCTGAGAAACATGGAACAGGCTTCAATCAAGCAAAGTCAAAGCAGCGAAACAAGGAGATTTTTCAAGCATCTCTGTTTTCGTCTTGATTTAAGGTTCCAAACTTCTGCTTGAAAGAGTCCTGCTTCTGTAGCCACATCATGTGTCCCTGCACAATTGAAGAGTGAGAAAAGTTCGATCGGAAAAACAGAGGAATTGGAGCTCATCTATCTCAATGCAAAGAAAGATAGAGAGGAATCGAACCTGAAGGCCTTATTGTTGGCAATTGAAACTTACCTGAAGAGAAGCTGCCCAGGCAATTAGAAATGAAGCGAACCAGAATTTCTTGTCCTTGAGCAACTGTTTTGCTTCCATTCTCATCCGAAACCCTAACAACTGCCTAGTCAATTGGAACTTTCCCAAAGAGCAGATCACAATTCCTCGAAAACAGAAAAGCAAAATTCTTAAGCCTCTATCTCTCTCTCACATGTATACACAGTAGAAAATGTTATAACACATGGTCCCGTAGCTCAGTTGGTTAGAGCGTTGGTCTTATGAGCCCAAGGTTTAGGTTCGAGACCCGCTCTCAAAGGTGTATTTATAGTCGCTCACGAAAGCCCTAGGCCCATTGATGCCAGCGCTTAAAGGTGTATACGAAAGTCCTAGGCCCATTGATGCCAGCGCTTAAAGGTGTATACAAAAGCCCTAGGCCCATTGGTGCAGCGCTTAAAGGTGTATTTATAGTCGCTTACGAAAGCCCTAGGCCCATCAATCAATCAGAAGTCCAACTGCAACTTGATTATGAGTTAATGACTAGTTGACTACCTAGCAAGCACCAAGCAGTTTCCAAGTTGGAAAAGTTGGTTTGGCTTTGGCATCACTCAATCATTTTTATTTACTTCCTCAACAAACAGGTACTCTTGAATTCTTTGCATTCCTCCTACACTCCAAATGAATAAGTCAGTCAGCTTGCTGAGTCTGTCTGTCATTCAATTATAAAACCCTATTTTTATTCTTTTATCCTTCCTGGTGTTCACCAAACAGAAACCAGCCTACAGTCATATAGTAGTGCAGCGAAAAGTAAAAAAATTTCATTGCCCTATCCACCTACCGTCCTACAATATGCACATTTTATTTTTGAGTCCAGATCACCTACACTTTACGACTTACATTAACAATGAGAATTCATCAAAATTCACAGGGTTGATTTTGATTGGCCAAATTCTCAAACGTGACCTCTCCAATCAAAAAGGCAAAAGCACCCCCTTAGACTTAGAATATGGGTGAATTTTCATCGGTTAGTGTACAAGGGTATTTATTACGTCCAGACTGATTCATTTTTGGTGAACTTTCACTGCGTAATTCAGAAAAATTGTTAGATTCACTGATCAACTGGAAAACCCAGACGCGACTTAATGGCGGACCAAGTGGATTGCTAATGCATCAAAGTTCAATCATCACCCAGTTCCAACTTCCAAGTTCATCTACCTGGTACCAGCACGCTTGTGCATTACTGCATAAGAATGAAGCTACATTTCAAGCAGATGGAGATGAACAAAGAAAGCTTTGGGAGAGTCGAACAATCGGTGGTTCCGGGAGACCTCACTTCCCTTTCCATCATTACCTTCTTAACCTTGTTAAACATTATGGCAACGTGCCATTCACATCTAAATTCTGTACATGTTGAAATTGAAAAAGGAAATAAAACTCTTCAGGGTCGCCAGTGAAAGGCTCCCGTCACAAGCAGGCTGCGGGCCTGTAAATGGCAAATTCATAACTCAGAAACCAGTCAGTAAACCAACCAATACATTGTCCCCAGAGAAAGAAGGAAATGATCACTCAATTAGCTATTGTTTCATGGAGGCAATCTTCCAGACAAGCAGAGGGAAAGCTTATCTCTCAGGATGGAGGCATTCTTGTCAACTGAGTCACATATCTGCTGACGATAACCTGAGTCATGGTTGTGAGACAAAGGCATCTCATCCTGCACCTCATCCTCCAGATCAATGACGATGTTGTGCAGTAAGCAGCATACAAGAATTATCCTTGGCAATTTATGCTTGTCGGGTCTCCACATCACTCCTTGAACAATCCTCCACATTTCTTTCAACCTTGCCAAGGCCCTATGTGCCACCACGCGGGTTGCAAAATGCCTCTTGTTGAACTCGGTACTGGATTCTGAAAGATCTTTTCCTTGATAAGGTGTGACAAGCCAGGGCAACAAAGGGAATCCTACATCCCCAATTATGTATTCTCTCACCTCTGATCCTTCAGACAACTTCATCTTTTTCCCATTCAACCTCTTTCCTTTCTCACAAAGCTTGAAGAAGCCTGAATTCTGTAACACAATGGAGTCATTCAAGCTCCCTGGCCACCCAGTAACGATGTCCCTGAACCTCATCTCAGGATCCACAATTGCCTGCAACACCATGCTGTGGTTCTTCTCATGATCGAACCAAACATCATTTGAGGGGTCTACTGAAGGCAAGCACATCATGATGTGAGTGGTATCAATTGCACCGCAACAGTTTGGGAGGCCCCGGATTTTCTCAAACTTAGACTTTATCTCTGTCATCTCTGTTTCTGTGGCAGGCCAACGAAGGTGGTGGAGCCCTCTTTCTTCCATGGCCTCCACAAACCTCCAGGTCACTTGAGAAACTGTTGATTGGCTGATTCCAAATGATTCACCAATTGTCAATAGCGACTCACCAGAGCTTAGCCTTCTTAGAGCAACAGCTACTTGATCATTTATTGACAGAGGCTTGCCATTTGTACCCATAAAATTTGATGGCTTTGCCATCATATCTTCCTTTACAAGTGAACAGATGTAGTTGAAGGTCTTCCTCGAGACTTTGAATACAGACTCAAATTTATCCAAACCATTTGACAGAGATAAAGGCCCTGCAAAGGAGCAAAAGAAAGTAGTAGTCATTCATGAGTGTTAATTATTCAGATACTAGTATTCAATATTCCTTCTGAAATCTTGCTAGGTAAGAGTAAAAGTGCTGCTTACAAACCCCATATCCACACTGGATTGATTGATCTAAGAACCAGCACCAATCTTCCAAAATTAATAGAAACAACATAAAATAGGAATTCAATGGAGTTGGCAGGGTTTTTTTTTTTTTTTCTTTTCTTGATTGGTAACTGATCCCAGTTTATTAATGCATGAAAAAAAAGTGTTAGTGGTGTTAGTGAAGGGGTATTTTGATCTTTGCACTTGTTGAGAATGTTGATGTGTACTGTTATGTTAGTTCGAGTGCCTCTTACTTAAATAAGGGCACTTAAGTCTTTTCCAATAAGTTAATAATATAATAACAGGTCTGGCCGAATCTAGGGATAACTTTTTTCTCTAATTTGAACCAGACCTCTCTTTTCCCTCTTCTTCTTTCCTCTCTTACTTCTACTTCTTGCTGTTCACTTTACTTT